TTTATATTTTGTCCCAATTTTAAGTAAATGCTGCAACAAGAACTCATATCGTATGTGGCCATTATGCACAAAACATACTGAAATTACTATAATCTAAACTGTGACAAGTTTCGATGAAATCGGTTCAGATTTCGATATAGCTTTTATATATATTTTCGTGTGATTTTAATTAAATGGTGCACCAAACTCCTCATGTTTATCAGATATTTATCCAAATAATAAACTGGTGTCAGATTGATATTTGCTTTAAGTGGATTTACATAAGTTTGTCCCATTGTAAGAAGCAACTATATATCTGATTAAATGAAAAATTTGGTATAGGTTGCAGAATGACATATTTATGGATCCAATTTCATGATAATGGTCCTTCAAAAATGGGACGTCTGTTATAATTCATCTGTTGAATATACCCAAAGTGGTGAAGTGTATCATATAGTCGGCCCGTCCGACTTTACTACTTTCCTTACTGGTTTAAAAATAATTTTCTGAAGGTTACAACAAAATGTGGATTTTTTCAAAATAAATTAAATATTTTTCAAATATACCTTGTGTGGATGCTCAAAAACAAAACTCCTTTAAAATAATTTTCTGAAGGCTACAACAAAAAGTGAATTTTTTAAAAATATTTTTTTAAAGGTAATTTTTGAATGGATTATTTTTAATTATTTTCTGAAAGGCTACCAAAGTCGTGATTTTTTTTAAAAAATTTTATAAATAGTTGCCAGAAGCCCCATCTTTTAAAAACAATAAATGTCAATGGACCTACATTAAACACAAAAACACACTTACAAATTTCTATAAATAATAAATAATTTCTAAACCCATCGTGCACATCAAAGGACATTGTACCTCAATATTTCACAGAACAATTCTCACACCAACCACTTAGAATATTTTTTCCCAACTTGACAGTTGTGAAGTGGGCTCTGTGATGATTATCACAAAAAATACTAATTGAGAGAATTACTAAGCAACAACATCATCATCGTCGTCACGTCACATCACATATTCAATTCAGAAAAATAACTACTTTTTCTTTTATTGAAAAGGATATGTTTTTGACATAAATTGAAATAGTTGTGTTGTATATTTTTTTCTATGTCAAAAAGAGAAGAGTGAAAAAATATGTATTTACAACTTATACATGATGTACATCATTTTCAAGCAGTTCAGTTCAAAACAACATTCAAGAGATGTCATTAGAAGAATTATATTTATTTATTTATGTACATGTGTGTATTTTTGTAACACTATTGATCGATTAAATAGGAACACATAAGATAATTCAAAATATTAGATATGACATTTGAAAAAATATTTAAAAATAAAAAAGTAGACTCTTCCTTTGGCTCTTCAAAAAATATATTTTAAATAATCACATGCCTTGGCTCCTTAGGAATTATTATTTTTAAAAATTCGCGCTTGCTTGGCTCTTTATATTATCAAAAAATCCGCTCTAATAGTTAATTTTTCTAATATCCATTTAACTTCAGTCTCCGATCAATCCTAGATCTTTGGAATTTCCATCACAAAATGAAGGGTATAATGTAAAATATGTATTTTTCTTCAAATCTACGCATTGACTAAGGTGCTCGAAAAATATTTTTTAAAAATCTAAAATTAAATATTTTGAAACTATGCCTTGCGTGGATGCTCGAAAAATATTCTATAAAAATTACTCGCGTTCTGTCGATTCTTTAAAATTTTTTTTTAAATATACGGGCAGGTCCTAAAAAATATTTAAAAAACGCCATGGAAAGGTCCTGAAAGATATTAAAAATAAACGCCTTAAAAGGTCCTACACCTTGAAAGGTCTTGAAAAAAATCTGTAAGGAAAGTAGTATAGTCGTGCTGGCCCGACTATATTATACCCTTCACCACCTTGTGTTTATTTTACATATGTATTTACGTCAATATTCCCTCGGAGGAACATTGACATGAAATTGGACGAATTTAAATAAAAGATCTTTATCTATAAGGGGACCGAGTTTCACGAAACTTAGCACACATCATTCATACTTAATTCAATTCGCTATGCCACATTTCGTGGAAATTAAAAGATATATAGGGACTTTGGTGCACCATTTACATTAAATCAGGACCGATTTTCAAGAAACTCAGCACACATCATTCCAGATTCAATTCAGTACGCTATCCCAAATTTGGTGCAAATCGAAAGATATATTGGGACTTTGATGCACCATTTACATTAAATCGAATGAAAATATATATGGGAGCTATATCTACATCTGGACCGATTTTCACGAAACTTGGCAGGCATCACTCTACGCTCAATTTAGTACGTCATGCCAAATTTGGTGAAAATCGAAAGATATACATGGACTTTGGTGCACCATTTACATTAAATCGAATGAAAATATATATGGGAGCTATATCTACATCTGGACCGATTTTCACGAAACTTGGCAGACATAACACTAGGCTCAATTCAGTAAAATCGGATGAAACTATATGGGAGATATATTCAAAACTGGACCGATTTTCACGAAACTTGGTAGACATCACAATAGGCTCAATTCACCACCATTTACATTAAATCGCACAAATATATATATATATATATATATATAAGCTATATATATATATATATATCTGGACCGATTTTCACGAAACTTGCCACACATCATTCTAGACTTAATTCAGTAAGCTATATCAAATTCGTGCAAATCGAAAGATATGCAAGAACTTTGGTACACTATTTACATAAAATCGTGCGAAAATATATATGGGTGCTATGTCTAGATCTGAACCGATTTTCACGAAACTCAACACACCTAATTCAGTATTCAGTCAAATTTCGTGCAAATCGAAAGATATATTGGGACTTTGGTGCACCATTTACATTAAATATATATATATATATATATATATGGGAGCTATATCTAAATATGAACAAAATATGAATCATAAATGCGACCTGTACTTTTCTCACAAAAATACATGGACGGACGGATATGCATAAATCGATTCAGAAAGTGATTCTATTCTCGAAAGGAAACATGGGTTTATCTCGATTCCTTTTGCGTGCTACAAACATATGCACGAAGACATAATATCCTGTACCACAGTGTGGCGAAGGGTATAAATACAAAAGTATAGCCTTGAGAAGAAAATCTACGCCTTGAAAAGGTCCTGAAAAAATATTTTTAAAAAGTGACATGGGTACTTAAAAATATCTTTGAAATCCAGTGAGCGGAGCAGTATAGTCGGACGGGGCCGACCATAGGATACCCTACAAAACTTCCACGAAAATCTTACTTTCTGTGGTTCTACATTCTGAGTTTGGGCACTATTTCGGGATATCTGCACCCTATTGCCCGAGTAGAGGTCAACAGCACCACTTCCATACACTGACACATTTTCCAAATATTACCAATATTCAGTACAGCCCTTTTAATTAATCTTCCAGATTCCCTCCACCGTGGGTTGTGTTGTCATGTTCGGTCTATTATTGGCATCGACTCGAAAAAAACGCAAAAATTAAGTTTTCGGCCCACTTCTTTCCAATATTATAATCTGATCATCACCGAAAATTATAGACGATGTCCTTGACCAGAACTGGAACCTCATTCAAAATTTAAAAGCGATCAGCGCTATATTTCCGCCCTCTGGTGTGGTAATGGGTTACTAAATAATATCTGAATACGTAAGCACCTGTATATATTTAAGTGTAACTCCATCATCCGAGTACAAGCGACAATATAATTGGTATTAATTTAAAGGTCAACCACTAATCTTGGATATATTATCAACTTCTCGGTTCTATGTCCTTTAGGAGTAAATATATATGCCATAGAATACAAATTTTGTAATTTTTCACACAAAAGTCAGGGTCCATTTGACCAGCTAAATATTGACCGATCTTTATCAAAACAGGCAAGTTTATTCTTTGGCCCGAACCCCTTCTCCATGTAAAATTTCACGATTTTTGGACCCTATTTGCGGCCACTGGAGCGACCAGAAAAACGGACAAAAATTAAGTATGTGGTCCATCCCCTAAATATTAACCGATTTTCACCAATCAATAGGGGTCTTCATTGACCAGAACCCATTCTTCTTGCAAAATTTAATGAAGATTGGTCCATAACTGTGGCCTGTATCGTGTTTAAAAATTATAATGGACAGACGGACGGACACACATGTCTAGATCGACGAATATTTCGCGGCGTAACAAACTCTTTGGGGCTGCACAAAGCTATAATACCCTGACAACATAGTTGTGTAGGGTATAAAAATCTTCACTTATCTTGGTGCCAGAATAAATATTCTTTAAAACAACCATGTTTATTATGGTCCCTTGGAAACTAGTCTGTAAAAATTCTGCGCTGTTCTTCATGGTTCCTGAAAAAATTATTCTTAAAAACTCTTCGCTTCTGTGGATCTTTAAAACAATGTTATTTAAAATTTCTTACAGAGGATCCCTTGTTTCATTTTTGATGTACCTAAATAACATATTCCTTAGTTTTTGCTGTTCATATATGTATATACTTTTCATTAAGTTCTTTATATGTATGTATACGCATGTGTGTATGAATGAAAATATCAAAAGCTAATGAACACCACAGACATGCATAGGAAAAAATATGTATAGCAACAACAAAAAATTAACTTTTTATTTCTCCTTCACACATACACTCACACACACATCAATATGCAACATTTACAAATACAAAGGAGAAGATGAAGAAGTTGAATTAAAAACAACCTGCTATAGAAATAGGAAATAGAATGTTAAAGAAGAAAAAAATACAGCATGGAAAACATGCACACATACTATACATACATATACATACACACAAGCACTTATACGTATACAAATGCAGCTTAAGCTTTTCTAAGATGTACTGTTTTTTTTCCTCTGTCTCTATTTTATTTATTCATAACGTATTTATTAAGTATCTTCTTAGGATGACAAGTAGACCAAAACAATCTACTCCTCCTTCTCGTTTTATCTCAACATCGCTTCATTCATTACTTACCCCATCTAAGGTTTTGATGTTGTGCAAAGCATCCTGCGCCTTCAAAGCAGCCTTACGTGTATAGTACGTCACAAAACAGCATCCTGCAAGACACACAAACAAACATGAAGAAGAAAAAAGGAACACAAGCAAAAAAGGATATACAAGTAACCATAAACAACAACAAAAACAACATGTCGTACAAGAAACTGTTACATTTGACAAAAAAATAAAGTATTTATTAACATGGAATAAAAACTATGCTTTGGATAAATGAGCTACAGAGAAAAAATACACCTTAAACGTACATTCAGATTCTGTATATCAGATTCTATATATGGCCTCATCTTCATTAGTCGCATACAATGACAGTTGTTGAAGTACAAAAGGTGTACGAGGGAAAAAATCCCAAAACAACGACGACCATTGAAGACGATATGTAACTTAATTTCTAAAGGATACAAATTACTGGCACTCATATTTCAAAGAGGGAGTGTGGTTGGTGAGGACACCCTTTCATGTTTCTTTTCTCCCATATTATGCACAAAAAATCGTTTTCATAGCTTATAGTGGCATACTTTGATTAAGAATTAATTGAATATCGTATATTGTTGCCATTCTTGACACCATCTGATTAAGTAGTCAGCCGTTTTGGTGTAAAACTACAAGTATTTCATTTTGTACGCTAATTAACATGCAATCATTACAAAACAGGTAATTAACGCTAATAAATACTACACAGACATTTTGGCATTCATACACAAAGGGTAACGAGCACAAAAAAAAAAACGGACAAAAATTACAAACACGTTTTTTGGGTAAAAAACGAACGAACATCATGCAATATATTTATATAGATGGTGGATTATTCCTTTTTAAGGAGTTTGAATGGGATTTTCATGAGAATGACATGGAGGCTATGTTTTATATGAAATTGAATTTGAATAAACTTCTAAAAATAAGGAGGTTATTGTAAGATATATTACAGGTACTTTATACAAACTAAGAGGGGACTATAAGAAATCTATTTAGAAAAAAAATCAGATTTGGGGAATATTTCAGATTCTTTACACTTAATTGTTACAATATTAATCATTATTCAGTCCAGCAACCCTGAATGCATTGTAGATTGGCTACAGCAAAATTTGGACCCATTTCATTTCATTTCAGTTTTTAAACAAGTTCAATTTTTTCAGTAAGAAATGTTATTATCTGCATGAACTGAATGACATGTTTGAATGGGTTTTGAATTTACAACTGATCAAAAGTCCACATATCATAATTGTGGAAACCTGACAAGATCTGGAACTTCTTATAGAAGATTCGTTCTGATTGGTTCATAACAGCGGCATATACATACCTTGATTAACTAGATCGATTCAGCTAGTCGAGATATGGCGACCGATATACTAAAAGATGGGTTTACAACCAATATTTCTTGGCATCACAAACACTTGATTCCATATAAACGTATAATATCCTCAAAGAACTAGTTCTTCAGGTTATAATAAAAATATTCCACAATTTTTCAGGACATGCTATTACAATTATCCAGAGTTTATTAAGGATTGATTTTTTTTCGTTCAATAATATTTAAGGCTACTGAGACATATCTAGTTCTTAGAAAGGCGCGGAGCTCTTAAAAATATTTGTTCAATGTCTTAGACATTGCGAGGAGTTTATTTTTTCATGGCCAAGGACTTAGGTAAGGCGTGGATTGTTTTAAAATATTATTTAAAGCCTACCGATAGGCATGGATTTGTATACCTTACACAACTATGTTGTCAGGGTATTATAGCTTTGTGTAGCCACAAGAGTTTGTAACGCCGCGAAATATTGGTCCTAGAACCACCTTTAAGTATACCGATCGTCATATCTCGACTAGCTGAGTCGATCTAGGCATATGTGTGTGTGTGTCCATTATATTTTGTAAACACGATACAGATCAATCTTCACGACATTTTGAATGTAGGATGGGTTCGGCCCAATGAAGACCCCTATTGTTTTTGGTAAAGATCGGTTAATATGTAGGGGATGAAATGGACCAAATACTTAATTTTTGTCGGTTTTTCTGGTCGCTCCAGAGGCCGCAATTATGGCCCAAACATCTCTATTTTTACATGGAGAAGGGGATCGTGCCAAAAAATAAGCATGCCTACTTTTATGAAGATCGGTCACTATTTAACTGGTCAAATGGACCCAGACTTTTGTGTTAAAAAATGACAATATTTTTATTCTATGGCATATATATTTACCCCTGAAGGACATAGACCCGAGAAGTTGATAATATATCCAAGAGGAGTGGTTGACCTTTAAATTGATACCAGTTATATTATCGTATATTCTCGGATGTGGGAGTTACACTGAAATATTTACAGGTGCTTACGTATTCAGACATTATTTAGTAAACCAATACCACACTGGAGGGTGGAAATATAGCACTGATAACTTTGAAATGTTCCATGAGGTTCCAGTTATGGACAAGTACAACGCCAATAATTTTCGGTGATGATCAGATAATTTTGGGGCGAAGTGGGTCGAAAACCGTTTTTTCGAGTCGATGCCAATAATAGGCCGAACATCACAACACAACCCACGGTGAAGGAATTCTGGACATTTAAGGGCTGTACTGAATATGAATAGGAAAATATGAATCGGAAAATATGTCAGTGTAAGGAAGAAGGTGTTGACCTCTAATCGGGCTAGATTTACAAAATATCACGAAATATTGCCCAGTCTTGGAATAAACATCCGCAGAAATTTGGAGTTCCGAGGTAGTTGTGTAGGGTATCGTATGGTCTGTCCCGTCCGATTATACTGCTCCGCTCACTGGTTTGGATATTTTTAAGGCCTTCGACAAGGCTTGGATTTTTTAAAATATTATTTGAAGCCAATAAACACACATTTTTATACCCTTCAATACACTGTGGTACAGGGTATTATGTCTTTGTGCATATGTTCGCAACAGGCAAAAGGAATCGAGGTATAAACTTGGTTCCTTTTGAGAATATTCATAGAATCACTTTCTGAGCCGATTTATGCATGTCCGTCCGTCTGTTGATGTTAAATTGTAAACAAAGTACAAGTCGCATTTAAAATCCGATTTGGATGAAAATTGGCAAAAGTAAATTATTTGGCCCAAGGACAAACCTAATTGAAATTGGAGAAAATCGATTCAGATTTACATATATCTCCAACATATATTTTGTCCGATTTAATGTAAATGGTACACCAAAGTGCCTGAAAATCATTCGATTTGCACAAATTTTGGCATAGCGTACTGAATTAAATCTAGAATGACGTATATATATAGGTAAATGGTGCACCATAGCGTACTAAATAAAGTCTAGAATGATGTCTGTCAAGTTTCGTGAAAATCGGTCAAGATTTAGATATATATCCCATATATATTTTCGTCCGATTTTGTGTAAATGATGCATCAAAGTCCCCATATATCATTCGATTTTTGTATAGCGTACTGAATTAAGACTAGAATGATGTGTGCAAAGTTTCGTTAAAATCGGTTCAGGTTTACATACACCTTCTATATATATTTTCGTCCGATTTTAAGTAAATTGAGCACTAAAGATCTATAGCTAGGCCGATTGACAACGTACTGAAGTTAATATAAATTAATCTCTGGCAAGCTTCTTGAAATCGATTTGGATATAGATATAGCATAGCTTCAATATATAATTTGTACTTATTTATGTTAGTTGTACACCAAATAATCAATGGGTGTCTGATTGAGATTCAATTTTAAACAGTGCAGCATACCGAATAGCGTGTGTTAAGTTTGCTTTAAATCGATTTACAAAATTCAGCATAGGTTGCAGAATGACATGTGTAGGGATTGATGTTAGTCGGTTTAGATATAGATAAATATCACATATTTAAGTTCGTTCAATTTCATGTCAACGTCCATTCAAAAAGGCGACGTCTTTTAGGATACATACGTAGAATATACCCAAAGTGGTGAAGGGTATCTACCCAGTCCGATTTTACTTCTTTCCCTACTGTTTTTTTAAGGGCTTAGACAATTAGTGAATTTTTAAAAAAATATAGTTTTAATGGCTTAAACAATGCATAGATTTTTAAAGAATATTTTTCAAGCCCTTAGTAGACAATGCGTAGATTTTCAAAAAAATATTTATTGTTAATTTTTTTGTTAGTCCAGAATTACAAGCTATAACATGTGTGGGGAAATAACCCCTTAAAAATACAGGACGCAGCATTGATCTACATTACAAATATTTGTAAATAGGTTTTTGTACTCCTAAAACCTGTAGTACCATATTAAAGCTTCGTAAGTGGTAAATAGATTAAATTCTCAAAAACACTGGTATAAGTTGTGGCTAAAATCTTCCAAATTTCGAAAATAGTGATGGTTCCCCACTATTTTCGAAATATGAATATATGCGTGCTTAATCTTAACATTGGCCGATATAAATATATTATGGTAGAAAGATGTGCCTCCCAGAGAGAACCATAGTATCACGTTATAGCAAAATCGATTGAAAACGTGCCTGAAAATCTTGAAGTACCGAAAGGGGATATACTTATTTGTTTCAGAAAATTATTAACATAGGTCCATGTTTTGAGATAGCTCTCATATAAAGGACCCCTCAAGGTAATTTTCCCATCAAAGTGACTATAATTTGACACTGTAGTATCTTGGACGCTTACATATATCTACGCAGAAAATCATCAATGTATGTCAATATTTTGATATAGCTCCCATTAAATGTTCGTCCTTATTCGTAAAATTTTTTTCTTACTTAAACGGGTGTAATTTCGCATTTCAGGTTGGTGGAAAGCTAAATAACATATTTAGAGAATTTCCGACTTTAGATATTTTGATATATAATGTCTGACCCGTTCGAACTTATAGCTTTTTTACTTGTTTGTTTCAAATAAAGGAGCACATAAAGGAATTTTATACATGGTATCCTTCCTATCATTTTATTTATTTATTAAAAATTATTAGTATATTCAAGGACAAGGCAAATAATCCTTATAACATGTATATTTGCATATATTTTCCTAAAATAGTCAAATACCCTTCCACTTATATTCTGGGCACATAAATGTCATTACCCAAAAT